TTTTTAGGGATGTTGAGTCAGGGTAGCGAGACATGTACACGTCCATGCGGCTCTGCAAAAACCAGGGCAGATATTTATTCTCTGCATGGAGGGAAATCCCCCAGAAATAAAACAGATCCTGCTCAGCAGCCACACAAGTCTCACTCACACAGAGCTGCAGAGCTCCCTTCAGTAAGCTGAGCATTCCCCATGGGATGCTGGGCCATGTTAGGAGTCTGTCTGCTTTTCACACCAAAGCAAGACTCCACATCTTGTGCTCAGGATCATTTGTAAAGACAGAGTGCAGCTCACTGCAGTAGCTGTGTGTTCTTCCTAATGTTTCCTTCTTGGAATATCAAGAAATTTCACCAATACTTTCCTTGAGAAACAGTGGCCCAGTTCTGACTCCATCCAGGATCAAGCTATTATTGCTTTTGGTGCTTCTGGTACTCTGGGTGGACCTGTCTCCAGTTTCACTCACATGAGCAGGTTTTGGCAGGGTCTGGACCTTGAAATCTTGGCTGGCCCCAAGGAAATAGCCCTTCCCCTTGTGGTCCCTCTGGGACTGCCCAGCTTGCCTGGATGTGTCCTCAAGTAACCTACTGTAGTGCTGGCCCTGGTGGGAGCAGGTTGGGATGGAGCCCCCCAGCCTGGTGCCTCTAGCCTGGATTTTTCTAGGATTCCACATTCGGTGCAGTGGAGCCCAGAGAAAGGCTCTGATCTGGGGACAAGTTTGTTCTAAGGGATGGTGGACTGAAAAGCCTGATGGCCTTCAGTCCTAGAGGTGGATTGAAGGGAAGTTCATTCCATAATGTCACTAAAACCCCTGTGAAATCACAAATCACTCAGTGCAAGAGAAAGCCTGGGGGCCCCTGGAGCATGGAATGAATGTCCAGGGGGGCAAAATGCCAACACAACAGCCCAGATGTTCCTACCCATCAAAGGTGTGAAATGCCATGTGAAGGCAGCAAATTGACAACTCCTGGTCAGACAATGAGCAACTGGATCCCTTCAAAGGTAAGCTGGAGGGTACTTACCACATTATAGCTGCTGGTAAAGCCACCAGGCAGGTAAAGGACCAAAGGGCAAATACTCCTAAAGATGGGGTAGGTGCACACAGCAGAGATCACTTGCTTCAAGATGTGGCCCTTATCAAAGACCACTGTCTGTCCTAAAACAAGCTGTGGAAGCCAAAAGGGTTGGTCAGAGTGGTTGCTGTTGCTTTCTGTCTCCAGGTGCTGCCCACCTCCCTGCCCAGCCCTGGAAGCTGCTGACTTCTTGCCACAGCTTTGCTGTGCTTTGTCATTTTGGCTTTTCAGAAACATCCATGGCCCTGGGAGAGCCTTGATCTTCCCAGGAGAGGTTTCTCCTGGGAGAAGGGACCCAAACCCAATATCTAGAAATAGTTCTTCTCTGATTAGGGCTGGGCAGGGGGATGTTTGACACTGTTCAATGCCCCGCAGGGTGAAGGGAACCCAGAGGGCAGGGGGAGGGAGGGGATGGACAAGCCCTGCATGTCTTAGCACATCTCACATGTGGTGAGGACATACCTTAACCAGTGCCTCGGGAAGGTCAAACACCTTCACCAAGGGTGACTTTGAGTTGGAGTTCACAGTGGTGGGAGCCAAGGCAAAAAACATCTTGATTTTGCGATCCAGTTCAGGAATGGATGAAAAGGTAATGAAACCTGTGTGGGAGAAGGAAGCAGACTCTGCCCTGTTATATTTGAAGGAGTTGTTGACTCCCAGGTGTGTGAGCCCACCAGAAAGACCCTTAGAAGTGGCTCTAGCAGGTTGGTGACTTCACCTGAAGCCTTTGCTGCTGATGTATTTCAAGTCCCAGCTTGAGTGCTCAGCCCAGCTGCACCTCCCAGAGCTCTTCCTGGGGCTCTGGCAGCAGTGGGATGCACCAAAAGCTAGGACTGCCACCGATTTTGGGCTGTCACTGCTCAAAACTGTTCTGTTAAAGCAAACAGGGATTATTATCTGCCCTTTTCCCACTGTTGTTTGGACGTGCCTGGATGTTACCGTCCCTGACCAAGGTTTTAAGAACAGTCCAAAACTGGGTGCAACTGTGACACTGGGCTGACCTCCTCCTAAGTACCTGTGGTGGTGCCTTGAGAGTAAGCCACGTAGTACAGCTGCTCCTGCCCGGTTTTCTGCAGGATGTAGTTGATGGTGGCTGGGAGGTCATACATGGCCATCTCGTGGAAGCTGCAGTGGAGACATGCACAGGACAAAATCACTCCTGCTGCCCTTGGGAGCGCATGGCAAGCAGTGCCCTGGCTGCCTGGGAGCAGGCAAGGGCTTTGGCGGGTCTGGGCAGCCCCGTGGGGTCCCGGTGGTGCCGGTTTGTTTTCCCCTCTGGCAGATGGTGTGACTGCCAGCAGCGCTGCTCCTCCAGCTGCAGAACCCTGCTGAGGGTGCCAGGTACCTGCCCACCCTGCAGGTTGGCAGCAAATACCTGTAAGCTGAGTATTCCTGGTGGTGAAAGTCAAACTCTCTGTGTTTCCGTGACCAGCTGTTCCCCCGGCTGTTCCCGATCCACACGTCGTAGCCGGCGTCGGCCAGGATGAAGCCCAGGCTGCTGTTGGGCAAGTTGGATACCCAGGTGCTTCCCTCCAACACCAGCCCGTGCTGGAGGAGGACCACAGCCTTTGGAGCTGGAGGAAGAAGAGGAGGAATCATTTGCTCTGACCGCTGGGAACACTGACCGTTCCCATCCAGGTGTTGCTTTGGCCACAACCCCCTGGGGCAGTGCCACCAGTGCAGGGAGGTGGCCACCTCTGTCCTCAGCCTCTCTGGAGAGGTGCTTTTGAAGAAGGCTCTTTGGTCATGCCAGGGCAGAGGAAATTGTTACAGTGAAGATGGAAAATAAGGCTGGGCTCTACATTTAATGGAGGCTGATAAATCACGCGCCCAGAGAGAGACACAGGTCCACATCTGGACACTGACTGTGCCCTTTGCACAGGGACCAGGCAGACCTTCCTGGGACACTTACGGGGACAGAACATGCTGGAGCCCCGTGCCTCTGCTTGATGGGAGATGCTCCTGCTGCCTGGGTTGCCCCTGCCGTGAGGAATCCTCTGCAGGGCCAGGTAGTAGCCATCATCCGTCAGCACCTCGTGCTCCTCGTAGGGGTACCCGTGGTAGCGGACGATTTCACCCTGCAGGGGGGAAGGACAGCGTGGGACAGGTCTCCAGGGAGGGGCTGGGGGTCTCTCTCCTGAAGGCTGTGAGGGCTCGGCTGGGCAAAGCCACCAGTGGCTGCCCCGAGCTGGTGTTGGTGCTGCTGCTGCCGGCGGGAGGGAGGGGCAGGGACCTCCCAAGGGCCCTTCCACCGGCGCTGCCAC